GCATAAGAAATTTTTGGAGTTTGTTAAAGTTTTCGTCTCTTTCGTTTCTTTGCTTCTCAAGAACTTTTACTTGACCCTTAATATATTCTCAAAATACTCTTAATACAATGAATTCTTCAAATATAATTGTTTTCTAAAAGCTTAAATTTTAAAGTTGAAATTTTATCGAATTTTTGAAAGACAATTATGATAACATTTACAGCTCTTTGAACAATATTTATTTGATTACATAAATTGATTTATTTATTCAATTATCTATTGGATTTATTTTGCTTATGCTATAGAATATTAATAGTTGGGGGCATACCCTTACCGTTTGGGCTAATCCCTGCCCACCTTGTGCGTGTCCAGGGGCTTGTCCACACGGACCACGCGCTCGGCCACATTTAGATACGCCTCGTACTCGACGGTGTCGGGCGTGGTGTCGTAGTGATAGTGTCCGCCCCAGTTGCTGAAGGAGAAGGAGTGGAAGTGCTGGAGCCGGAGATCGAGATCGTGCTCCTTGGTGACCAGAGTGCCGAGGGCGTTCAGCTGGGCGGGCATGTCGTAGAACTTGAGCCACTCGTTGACCTGCTCGTCCGTGTGGATGGGCGTCTTGCTGAAGTCGCGCATCACGTGCTGATGGACGGCGCCCTTTTTGATCACGAATATGCCGCCCAGGCCCACTACCCGATCCCCGTAGTGCTCCTCCAGGCCCTTGCGTATGCACTCGATGAAGTTCAGCTCGCCCTTGCGCTGCTTGGCGCTGATCTTCAGCACGGGTCCCGCCTCGCCGCGGCTCAGATACAGATTGAGGAGCAGGGCACAGCGCGCCTCCGTGCTGGGTATCCGCTCCAGGACGCACTCCTCCTGCTCGCCGCGCACCGTCGCCGTGTAGCTGCCGTTGGTCAGCTCGTCCGACGCGCTAACGGACAGATTGTAGATGCCCTCGCAGTTGGAGCTGCGTATGGGATAGGGTCCAGCGCCGGCGCCCACGGCGAATATCTTGCCGGCACCCTGTATTCTGCGCGCGATCTCCTTGATGTTATACAGCTTCTCGCGCTGCACCAGCGGCAGCAGATACGGCGGTCCGCCCACCTCCAGCAGCGTCGCCCTGCCGCCCAGTCCCGACTCCACCAGGCCGTATGTTGGAGCTGTCAGATCGGGGCAGGCGCCCACCTGCACGCTGGCTGTTGCAAAGTTTTTACGCAGCGCACCCTGTATAACTGACCAAGAGAGGGAGAGAGAGAGAGAGAGAGAGAAAGAATACAATGAATAAGCTTTATCTCGCCCTCAATCAAGACAACGCCAAAAGCTGCACAAAAGCTCTCCAGCTGCCAGTCACATTTCTTATTGTGCTCAGAATGAACAAAAAAAAAACAGTTTTCTTCGCAGAGCCGAAGATTGAATGCCCTTTGGCAGAGATATGCATAGCAAATAATATAATTTGCAAACTTATGATCCGATCGAAGCTATGTGATATACAGGTATATGATATAGAAATAAAGCCGATCTATTCTATGGAATCTTTTTGATATAGTTGATTACATTTTTCCCTAATAGTGTGAAGCTATGAATTCCTGAGCTTAGATAAGATTTTTTTATCAGAATTCTATCTTCTATCGATTTTTCCGATGCAAGCTATATGATATAGAAGCTCCCATATAGCCATGTGACATAAAGTATATGATATAGATGATATATAACCGATCTATGCTATGAGAACTTTTTGAATAAATGATGAAATTTTCCCCTAATTAGATAAGATTTAAGAAAATAAGACTGTATTTTTTATTAAAATTCTATCTACCCATTATTTCAATGTCAACTATATGATATACATATTCCGCTGCTGCACAGATTTATAAGCTGTATATAAAGAGTATATCGCGTAACTGTGCTTGATTAAAATAAATAAAAGTAAGAGCTTTTCTATACAAAGACTGAATGTTCCAATATGAATGTTCCTATATACTTTGCATATACAATTTTAGCTCAATTGGTGAGTTTGTTCAAGATATTTCGAAAAGTATATAAGATTTTATTTCCCAGTTCTCAAGACACCTTTACTATATAGTAATAAATAGAAAAAAGAAGAAAGAAAAAGAAGCTCATCTCTGCCTAGTTTCATCAAGACAGCTTTTACACAGACAGCCTAGTTTCTATATAAATAGGCATCTCGACTTTGATACTGATCAAGAATATATGTTATATGCTTTATGGATAGTCTGTTTCTAGTATGTGTTACATTTCTTATGGAAATTTCCATATGCCCTCCATTAAAGCACAAGAACACGCCAAGAGAACGGCCTCAAAAACAAAAACCGGCTATGGAAAGTTCGGCACAGTTTGTGAAGGTCATTTGCTATGCTGCTGCGACTTCTACTGCTACTGCTACATTCTACTGCTACTGCGACTGCCACTGCGACTGCCACTGCTACATTCTACTGCTGCAGTAGCTCCGCTTACCCTGCTGCAGCTCCTCCAGCGTTGGCACATGCAGCGGCTTCTCCTCGAAGACCAACTGCGCCGTATTTAGCTGGCTCTGACTCTGGCTCTGGCTTTGGCTCATCTTTCCTTCGTCTTCCAATCACGAATTTTGTTTGATTTGCTTCGCCCTGAAACTTGCGACTCGATCGACGATTGTTCCGAACGCGACTGTGGAGCGGAGCTGACGAGCTGTTCGCATTTGGGTTGGCTTGTCCTATAGTTAACATTGCCCGCTCGCATACAGGGTGACCCCCGCCGGGGCGATAAGATATGCGGTTTTGATGATATTCCAGTTTTTCCGCTAAAAAATAAACATGTTTAATTAGCACCTCAATTCCTTTTCACTAAAGGCAACGCCTTAAGTACATGTCTTGTCTCACAGATTTATGGCATATATGGGCTAAGTACAGTGGTAACTCGATTTATTAGAACTACGCTCAGGGAAAATTGTACGAATTTTGGCCTCATTTGATACTTAAAGTTTTTTAAAATGTATTTGAAACTTGAGAATCTTAATATATCATTATGAAATTCCCTAGTTGTGTTCCAGTTCCAGTTTCGAACTTAAGTAAAGATTTCTGCTACTCTTTTTGAGTTCTCGAGAGTTTCGAATGAAAAAGAAGATTTCTGCTTCTCTATTTGAGTTCTCAAGAATTTGTCTTGTTTCAACATACTTGTATCTTCTCTTAAGAGTTTTTGTATACTTGGTTAAACATATTCTCATTTTCAGCAGCTCGTTCTTATTAGAAATTTAGCTATTACTTGGTTCCAGCTCATTTGAACTCAATTTTAGTCCGACATGCATATTTAATTATTTATTTTTTTTATTGTACCTACGCAAGTTGTTTGTTTTTAGAGCAACATACCCTACCAAAATTTTCCATGCGCCTGATAACTTTCCCCTTCTTTACACTTTGTCACTTCGAAAAAAAAAACAGAAACCGGTCGCTCTTTAAAGTTGTGTCTGAAATGTTTTCCCGCAACTCCCCTCTCCCCTCTCCCGTCACCCCTCTCCCATCTGTTGGCTTCTGCATTCTAATTTACATATTCGACAGACTTTGCGTGTAGATCTATAAAATAAGATCTAAAGATTATGTGCGACTAATGTATATTTGCCATTATGCGGCATTTCGTTTAGAAATTGCTCGATTTCTTAATGGAATACAATTAGCAAAGAATGTTCCGTGATAAATCTTTCATTCATGAGTATTTACTGTACCAGACCATGCAGCAGGCGCCGCTCTATATTTAGGTGCACATAACTTAACTAACTTTAAAGCGAACAGCTTCAGTTCCAGTTTTTTTGTTTATTAATTAAGATAGTTAACAATTCTGGAAAAGTTGGTTATTGGTCGAAAAATACAAAATCTCATACAAATTTTCCAGAATCTTTAATTTTTTTCCCCTAAACAACTTTTCTGCTTTTCATCTTTATCTCGAGCAAACGCAGCAATTAGAGAGAGTATTTAAATTTCGTCGTGCCAAAGCTAGCCTTCCCTCTTGTTTACACTGACAACAGTTGCTTGTCCGTTGGCAGAGCTTTCACTGTACACACTGTATATTAGCGGCAACGCACTGATAAGCCCTGTTTGCACACACTTTCGCGGTTTACCTCCCGTCCGAGATAGTGCAGCCGCAGATAGGACCTGGAGAGTCATTTAGCGGTCACGTTTGGCACCAGTCGATGATAAGGTTCCCATAGAGAACCTCTAAATAGAGCGGACAAATTTGTGCGTAGTGTCAATTTGATGAATTGTTGACCTAAGCTGCGGATTGACCTGCTTCTGGCCCATATCAGCTGTCTACTTATTAAATCTATGCCCCCATTAGCTGGGCCGTCTTCTGTGACAGTCAATACACTCAGAGAAAAACTTAGTTCGAACTCAAATTTATAAAATTTGGATTGAGTGATAAATACTTATTAAAAGAATTTAAATATATCATTATTTATTATACAGAATAAGCATTAAATTAAAAAAAAAATTTTTTTTGTTTGTTTGGGAAAAAGATTGCAGGAAAAGAAATTGTATCTTAAAATAAGAAATTCTAACACAAATGCTGCATTTTAAGATCTTTTGCACTTGACTTAAGTAAAATAAGACTAGGGTATACCCTGAACTGTCTTCTCTCAAAGGAATAAACTAGCATTCATAAAGAAAAAAGAGCGTTTATCAAAATAAATGAAGTTCCCTCAGCCGGCATCGAACCCGCAACTGCCTTCAAGTGATCGAATGGCTTGCCATCGCCTCAAAGCTCACCGCCACACCAACAAATAGACGCACATAAAGAAACAACACACACACACGCACACAGAAAGAGAGCGAGAGAGCATACAAAGCAATCGCAATTGCAAATATATTCTTATATCTATTTAGTGAAATAAATGTGAATGCATGTTTGGACATTTACTTTTAGCGATGATCGCACGCACGGAAATCTAATCGATTCGATAAGAGAGCTTTCTATTTTGTTATTACTGTATATAACGGCGCCGTCGAATTTTTCCAATAAAGTTTGAAGCACTTTCTTTAGTTTGCTTAGTCTAAATTATGAAGGCTTTAATTGTTTTGGTCGCTCTGGCGTTAGCCGCCCTCGCTCTGGGTCGCACCATGGACCGTTGCTCCCTGGCCCGCGAGATGTCCGACTTGGGCGTTCCTCGTGACCAGCTGAGCAAGTGGACCTGCATTGCCGAGCACGAGAGCTCCTATCGCACGCACGTGGTTGGTCCTCAGAACAGGAATGGCTCCTACGACTACGGCATCTTCCAGATCAACGATCTCTTTTGGTGCCAGCCATCCGACGGTCGCCTCTCCTCCAACGGTTGCGACATCGACTGCGACGACCTCTTGCATGATAGCATTGTCAATTCCGTCAGATGCGCCCAAACGGTGCTCGAAGAATCGAGCAATAGCTGGTGCGCCTGGACCACCTGGCGGTTCTGTAACGGTGCTCTGCCCTCCATCGATGACTGCTTCTAAACTGGATAGTGTTTTTTTTTTTTTAATTAAAAACGATCCAAGCATAAGGAGCTAACAAGGGAATACCCTTAATGAGTATAGTCATATACTCGCGAAATAAATAAATGCAAGTTATTTCCCTCTGCAGATATGTGTTCACATTTTTTACAGAATTGCTTTTGCTTTGGTCTTGCTGCAATTATAAAATCAAGTTTTCTTTAATAACTTGTTTGTTTCTCAACCGATCTTTAAAAAAATTGTCCGCCTTTGTACCATTGAATATTCGTGTATTTACAAAAAGCACATCAGCATAACAATTGTGGCCTAAATTGATGGATAGTTTCAATTGATTTAATTATTTGATTTATGACTATGGGGCAGATGGCGGCGATAGCCATAAAATAAAAGAAACTTGATCTGTATTTTGTTTTCTAGAAGCTACATGTCAAATTTGTTGACTCTAGCTCTTAAGACCCAAAAGATTTGCTCAAAAAGTTGGTTTTCGATATCGATAGACCAGTTATTGATTATTGGAAACGATTATCGATTATCGGAAATTTGTTGACTCTAGCTCTTAAGACCAAAAAGATTTGCTCAAAAAAATTGTTTTCGATATCGATAGACCAGTTATCGATTATCGGAAACAAACTAGTGCTGCGTTGGAACTAGGGAGACCATTGTTTAAAATTTTAAGTCTTTAGCTTTTATAGGTTCTGAGATTCTGGCTAGATCGGCTCGAATATTGATGTTGATCATGAATATAAATATACGTTATGTGGTTAAAGATGCTTCCTAATGCCTGTTACATATATTTACACAAAACATTTTCTATGGGTTAAGGTTATAATTACATAAGCATAGAACATTCTCTATGAAAATGCAATGTCTATTAAATTGAGCATAATATTTAATTTTTATATTAGCGAATTTCGAGGAATATTATCCCAAGTGATATTCCTCAAAATTCCCTAATATAAAAATTATTTAGCGACAAAAATAACAAGTTATTTAGTTAAGAATTTCTATATCATTAGTGTGGAATTTGTCTATATTAAAGTTTGAAATATAGAAAATTGGGAATAAAAAAAGTATTTTATTATAAATTGTTCTTGAAATGAGAATTCGTGTCTCACAAAATCACATTTGCGCTTGATGCGAGTGAAAAATGTTGAAGTAATTTTCTCTGCGTGCACGCATCTAATCATGCTGACCATGTCCATGTCCATGTGCTTATGTCCAAGCAGATTACCAAACTGGTCCACGTCCACGCAAGTCCATCAGAATCGCAACAGATAGTTGATCATAATTAGCCAGAGGCAGCTCCCCAATCCTATTGAGAACAGATCGCCAAGGAGCTGCCATCGTGGCCATCTATGTGCTGGTCCGACGTTGACCTCAATCTTGGCGTCTTCGGACGAGATGTCGAGAACTCGCCGCTGACCCAATTCCAACGCCCATTCGCAGATGTTGGTCGACTCACTTCACTTTTGCGCATTTAGCTGGGAACTGGTTAGGAACTAGGTCACACACACACACACACGCACAAATCTTTGTAGACAAATCTTTGGCTGGTTATTAACATTTCATGTCCCCGTCCCATTAGGCAATGTTTGACTGGCGCCAATTGTGATGGGCAATCGGATCGCAGCGGGAGCTGGCAGCAGCGGGCAGCAGGCCAACTCTCAGTTTAATACACGGCGGCGTTATCAGCAGCACAAGCGCGACTATTGTCTGCAGGATGAGTATCGGTCCAAGACCCTGCCGGCGCGTTATCCACAGCAGGAGCCGGCTGATAGCCGGCAGCCGTTGGGCTCCAGCAGCTGTCTGGGCTCTGGCCAGGCCAATGGAACGCCCAACGGCGGCGAGACGTCACGCATGCTGTTTCTGCTCTATCTAATCCATCGCACCTGGAACGTGGTCATGGACACCATGGACACACGCACCAAGAGGTAGTTATCGCTAACCCCCTCCATTGCCTGCTTATCCAATTTTACTTTATTTCCATGCAGTCGCTCAGCGCCACAGAAAGTCACGCCCGTGCCAACGCAGCGTAGACAGACGCAGGCGGATGAGGAGTGCTCCATTGGCATCACAGACATGGACGCCTCCTCCTATTGTTCCCAGTACTCCAGCTGCAGCTGCAGCTATTGCTACGAGGATGCTTTGGAAAAGCGCACCAATGCCTGCAGCTCCAATGCGGATGAATATTCGCTGGACTCCATTTACGAACACAGCAAATCCATGTGCTACAGGTAAGCTTAAAGCAAATACACAATTCAAAATTAACGGCAGCTCAGCTGACAGAGCAAGCAGCTTTTCTCAGCCAAGCAGCTTTTGTCAGCCAAGCAGTACAAATATGTGTTGCCTAGCTTCAGGCAGGCACACCGGCACTGCTTGCCAACATGCATTGCTTGCCAAAGTACACTGCTTGACAGTTGGGTTTGAAACAAAATGCGGTAAAAGAAAAAGAAACTTTTTGAAAAACTTATTTATTAGCGATTATCGTTGTCCAGGTAAATAGCTTAGAAGCAGTCATCGATGGAAGGCAGATAGCCGTCACAGAAGTGCCAGGTGGCCCATGCAGACCAGCCCTGCTGGCTGAGCACCTTCTGGGCGCAACGGACGGAGTTGTTGATGTCGTCGGTCAACAGGGCGTTGCAGCTCAAGGCGCACTCGTTGTAGGAGAAGCGACCGTTGGGAGGCTGGCACCAGTACAAGTCGTTGATCTGGAAGATGCCGTAGTCGTTGGAGCCGTCCGAGTTCTCGGGACCGACCACGCCGGTGCGATAGTCGCTCTCGTGCTGGGCAATGCACGTCCACTTGTCCAGCTGGTCACGAGGAACGCCCAAGTCGGACATCTCGCGGGCCAGGGAGCAACGGTCCATGGTGCGACCCAGAGCGGGGGCGGCAAAAGCGGCCAGAGCAACCAAAACAATGAAAGCCTTCATGTTAAAAGTTCAGAAAACTAATGTCCAACTGCCAAAACGCTTTCGCTTTTATAAGAAACATATAATCTCTAATGCGCAGTTATCTAGAGTACTTTGCGTATTTTCGAATTCCAGATAGGAAAATTGAAAGCATTCTTTTAATATAATCAACTTTCAATGGGTTTGAAATTTAAAATAATATTTCCTGTGTGTAGCTGATAATACGAGTGCAGAACTTTTATATCATATTATTATATTTAATTTTAAAATAATATTGATAGGAAATTGATTGGAAGGCAGAAAGTATGCAATACTTTAGGAATACCCATTTCAAGGAAAGGCATCTAGTTTTCCCTACTAACAAAATTACTTAATAAATAATTATAGCTACCTTTTCAATCATTCCCAATTTCAAAGATATATCAGGAGCCTGAGCATAGAGATCATATAACCTTAACTTCCTTGGCGCCTATTTAGTTATAGGGGAACTTACAACTGGCTTCTCTTTTTTCCAAACCAAATGCCCATCGATTATCTAGTTAAAATTGGCATTAAAAAGCTGCCTGTCAATAATAAAATAGATATCCGACAAAACTGTGTATAATATTACGCACTTCAGATAGCAATAGCTGGGATAAGATAATGCCAGCCTATAAAAGGGAAAGCGTTTCAGCAGTTGGACATCAGTCTACTGAGGTTTAATCATGAAGGCTTTTATTGTTTTGGTTGCTCTGGCCGCTTTTGCCGCCCCCGCTTTCGGTCGCACCATGGACCGTTGCTCCCTGGCCCGCGAGATGTCCGACTTGGGCGTTCCTCGTGACCAGCTCAACAAATGGACGTGCATTGCCGAGCACGAGAGCTCCTTCCGCACCGGTGTGGTCGGTCCCGAGAACTCGGACGGCTCCAACGACTACGGCATCTTCCAGATCAACGACTTGTACTGGTGCCAGCCTCCCAACGGTCGCTTCTCCTACAACGAGTGCGCCTTGAGCTGCAACGCCCTGTTGACTGATGACATCAACAACTCCGTCCGCTGCGCCCAGAAGGTGCTCAGCCAGCAGGGCTGGTCCGCCTGGTCCACCTGGCACTACTGTGACGGTGCTCTGCCCTCCATCGATGACTGCTTCTAAACTGGATATTGATTTTTTTTTTAAATAAAAACGTTAAAATTATGAAAAGCTAAAAATCGTGTTGGTCAAACTTCGCTTTAGGCGCATAATTGGCAGCTCTTATACTCGTTTAAGCAGAGTCTTATACGTGCTGAGCGAAGAGAGAAGCGCAGAGAGAGCGCGTCTTAAACGAGTTAAGAAAGTGAGAGAGAGGGAGAGAGAGAGCGAAAGAGAGCCGAGCTAACTGTCAACGCGCGTTGAAGCCAAGTTTACGGTTGCCCGGTCTCGGCTCTGGCACAGTCAGTGCGTGACTTTTCATCGAAACAGACGTGCGAATCGCAGCGGGTCTTGACTTAATCGAGATAAACTCTGCTTTAGCTTGGCTAAAACGAACGATGGCTTTGCTAGCCATGCTTAAGGTCTAACAAAGTGCAATCGTCAAATGCAGAGCAAAGAACTGGCAGCTTCAAGGCGAAGGTTCTGCTAATCGATTTTTGGTAACACTGGCCACTTATAGTAGTTGGGGTAACACTGGCTGCTTCTGCTTCAGAATTTCTACACCTTCACCCAGGCTCTGTTACGTGTCGCAGACGCGATTACGCGATATAAACATATATAGTTATTTATATACATACATATATAAAGTCGTGCTGTGCGTTCTCGAGAGAAACAAGTTTTTTATTGGCTAGAAAAGTGGCCGCTCCTGCTCGCACCCGCTCCGCTCTTCGGGGCAGCTAACAGCATCGCGAGCGCGCGCTGATTGCATTCTAACGGTAAAACGAGTACGACTCTGACTGGCCCGGCCTGGTGCTGGCCTCTGCTGTGGCCTATTGCAGCATCCACAACAACAACAATAAAAACAACAACAACAACAACAATTGCAACCGTAACTTTGCACGTTCGCTTTGTGCTAATCTTCTCAATTTATGTTTCTTGTTCTTCGATGACGCTGCAAAGTGCAAGAAAGCCAACTTTTACAAGCTCAAAATAAATAGATGAAAAGTGTCTGTACGTGTGTGTGTGCGCGTGCGTGTGTGTGTGTGTAGACATTTTGAGTACATTCTCTGCATTGGCCCAATTCCAATTCGTGTCATTTCGCTCGCATATATGCTCCAAATTGGATTTCGTTTTGGCCTAGAAGTGTGAACAGATTAGAAGCAAACGAGGTAAGTCACATCATCGCTCACCGCTCCCCCGTCCCCTTCACTCGAATGGTCAACTCTCGCGCTGCGCAGAAGCAGCTTATCTGCCGACCCAAACAGTTAGTTGCCCATGACCCGCCATTGTTCTCTGTCTCCCTTCCCCCTTCCCACAACTCTCATGTGGTTACGCCCACCAACTAATCTAAATCTTAACTGAAGCTACCTACATACACATACATACATATGTATGAGCACATATGCTAATAGGGCTCAACTTTCTTTCAGCCAAATATAAATACAAATATAAATACGAATACATTCAGGGCTTAGTCAAATCCTCTTGAGCTGCGCTTATGTGTGGGCAGCATTGGCATTAAACTGCCAGTGCTGCCAGCTTTTTTTTGGCTTGAAAGAACCACTTAAAAGACAACAAGTGCTCGTTAGGCTGGCAGTCGATGCTATAAAAATATTGTGACCACATAAATTGTTGTGTGTGCATTGAAGAAAAAATCAAAATAAGAAAGAGGGTAGGTGCTCGACTTGAATATACCCTGTAAACTGCACTGAATTGTTTGAACTTGCCTCAGCTACGCACTAGAAGAATGTGTACTGGAATAACTTTTGTATATTAAGTTCAATTGTTAGTATGGGGCATATTTATCAGATATCACTAAATTAGTCATTGGCTATTTCTCTGAAATAAGTGTTAGAATATACCCTGTAACCTGCTCTGAGTGTTGTAATATGCATTCATGTAAACTTATAAATGTTTTTCTACTTTTCTGAGCCCCGCACTAAATAAATCTATTCTTAAATAACGTCCGTATTTATAGTCCAATCGAAGTAAGGACTTTAAGATTAATTGAATAGATATACCATATATCACAGACTATACTAAATAAATAGTTTTTTCGATTGTGAAAAGTTATAAAAAAACCCTTTCTATATGCTTAACAATATCCTTCATCCCAACTAGCTCTTTTAATCTTAAAAATTAACCTTATTAACCAGATCTGCGTAAATTACATGAGAACTTTAGTTGATTATTTGGTAGGTGAACCTCTTGGAGTCTTTGATATTGACATGTCTATTATGACAGAGACAGACTGACAGATAGACAGACAGACATAAAGACCTGGCCTCCATCTGCCGGTGACAAACAGTTGATCAATACACCCTTCTTCAAATTGATACAGGGTAGAAAACACATATTTCAGACAAATTACATTTAACCGTACTCGAAAGCGGCAAAAAGTGCCATGGAAAAGATGAAAAATTGAATTGGCGACGGCACGCTTCGAGACAACCCCCCCCCCCCCCCCCTTCCACCGGGCCCAATCTGCCAATGCCCCAGTCCCAATCTGCCCAAGTCGAGTTACAGCTGCTAACAATGCCACTTGCCGCAGATAGAGAGAGAAGTGTAAGACAAACAATAAAAGAAACATCAGTGGGCAGCACAGACACAGGCACACACATAAGAAATACAGGTAGACCCCACTTAAATACATATATACATATATACTAGTTGGACGAAAAGTGTTCCGGTCTGATTTAACAATTGTTAATAATAAATAGCTTATGCATTGGACACGCTCCAACTGGACAGTTGGGCGTCACACGCAACCGAATGGCCAACATACGAGCTCCACAAACACTTTCGGCTAAGCCCCAAAAAAAATGATACTTATGCATATATGAATCCGTTAAAAAGAAATTTTCTTTTCACGGCATTTTGCGGTTAGGCGCAAATTCTTTGTTTGAGGCGCTCAGCAGTCGAGTTAGGGCATTTGCTGCAGTCGGTTTCGAAACTGCAGCCAGGCCCAACAATAGACAGCTGTTGGACACCTGACAAATGAGGCAATTGTTGATTGAGTAACCGCAATTCGCTTAAAGCCGCTCTTTGTGCAGCTTAGGCAATGGGCTTTGTATACCCTGTAACTGTAGAGAAATGGGTGCAATTGACACATATGCACATTTGATCGATTCGAGTTCGATCAGCAAAAAAGCTAGCTTACATTTGACAACAGCCACGTCGATAAATATCGATTTTCAGCTCTGAAAGTTAAATTAAACTGGTTCAAGATAGGAGAAATGCCATCAAAATTGATGAAAAGATTAGACTACTTTTAGCATACACAGAATTGATATATATTTTATTTTATTCACATTTTTTTTCAAAATCGATAATTATCGATTTTTAGAGCTGATTTTTAACTTAAGCTGGTGAAAATTCCATTCAATTTGAAAATTAGAATCTTTTAGAATACACAACATTGAAATATTTCAATATTATTCAAATTTGTTCAATATCGATTAATATCGATTTTCAGCCTTTTCTTTATTACTTTAGCTGGGTAACTGTTGGAAAAAATATCCAGTAAACTTTAGTTTCAGAACTTGGTTTAGTATGCACATATCTTGATAAACTACCCACCAAGCTGATTTTTGGTATATACACACATAAAATTTAATTCTTTATGCCCTGATATTATAATATCGATCAGACAATAAAAACAGCAGTAATTCCCGAATGACTTATACATAATTGGAGGCTGAAGGAAACTCTAACAAGAATTAAAAGTGCCTATTTACACTAGTCACAGGGTATCTCAGCGTCGCACACCCTATTGAACCAAATGGAATTGGCTTAAAGCATTTGGTATAAAGTGTTTAAAGCGGCAGCCATTGCCATCCAAGTGAGCTTAAAGGCCAGCTGTCCACACAAATAATCAGCCAAGCTCTCAATTTGCATTTACTACTCGAAGTCGCTTAACTTTGGAACTTGTGCACATCTGGAGGACTAACGAACGCGACTAGACACCTCCATAGCCATATCAGTCGCAGGTACTTGAGATAGACAACCATTCAAACAACTCCTCCAATTAGATTGGTTTGCACTGCACTTGGGTTTCCGTCTGGGGATTGTGCCTAGACCATGAAAAAGAACTCCATTCTAAAGAAGAAAAAAGAACTCCATTCGAAGAACTAAAAACTAGATAAGAAATTACAACAAGCATTCGGGGAAGTACCCTGCTCTAGATATTAATATGACTGGATTAGATCATATAAAGTTTTTTTCTTAAAAGATCTTAAAGTATATTTGTTGTGCTTGAATATTCTTCAATTAAGTTTGAAGCAGTCTTGATTTAAAAACTAACTGTTTATGTTATAAAAACAATATGAGAGCAAAATATTAAAAAAAGGTTTTAGAAAAAATTAGTTATTAACAAAATTTGAAGGCTTAAAATAAAGTAAAATGTTCTTATTAAATATCTAACATTTATTTAGGTAAAGTTCTATATAAGAATCTTGAACTTAGGAAGTGCGAGAATAAATTAAACTCCTGAAATCATAAATTTCGTTTTTGCTTATGAAAAAGTCGAACCCAGATCTGGAGAATAATGATAATTCCCTCTATCAAATTTCGGAATTTTTTGAATTTATAAATAAATCGAGCCCAGATTTCGACAATGTTTGTACTAGATTTTATCACATATTTCAAGATTTTTTCTGTAACTTTTATAATCTTCTTCTCTATCATATTTAAGATTTTTGGGCTTAAGGAATAGAGTCTTGAGACTAAATTTTCTTTTTAAGCTACTGAAATGTCGAGCTTGACTGACTTTTAAGCAAACTTTTCAATTGACTTGAGAACAAAATTTTTGGTTCCTTCAGCTTCAGGCGTTAGTCCGGATATATCCTCTTCCAGTTCGAGCTGAGCAAAGCCTTGTCTCATTGACTTGCCTCGAAGCGAACTTCTGAGTTGGCGGTTTTCTGATGCGACATTGATTTGTGTCTAAAACCGATTGTGACGGACAGGAAGATTGTGTTTGGTTTTTGCCACTTTCTCCCAATTTACGAATCTGCCAATGTTTGACCAGGGGCGGCCAATGCGATTATAAATTCCAATCAGATTATAATTGCGCACATATCGT